TCAGACGTGTGCTCTTCCGATCTCCCCAAAACCCCAAAACCCCTAGTATTAAAAAATAATCTTGAAAAACTTATTAATAAATCTTTATTCTGTAATAATTAAACTTAATAATAATCTAGCTATTAGTCATAGTACTTTGAAGTCTGTTAATTCTATGATAGATCTTCTGAAACTCACACCCCTGTTACCTGGATTCTATGCTGACCAAAGATAGTGACTCTAGTTCAATTCCGCAACATTATTCTTTGTTGATTCTCTCGAGACTACACTATTCTGATTAAAATTAGGCTAGTCTACTAGGCTCAACTTCTTAAGATATGTTTAATGATGAGCACTACCAGGTAACTGACTTTTGTTATTCATTGAGAGATTAATGCTATTCGCATAGTCATAGTTAAATCTCTGTTTCAAAGTTATAGATGTACTATTGCTCTCTGGATTATTTATCGATCTTGAACCCCTTTCCCTAGATTTTTACGACTTCATAGAATTTCTATAAGTGCTTCGACTATTTTAATAAGTAGAGATCGGCTAAGGCTGTTTTTAAGAATCAAATGAGTCCTTAGGTTCTTTGTATCTTTAAGTAGATTTCATTTAATTCGTACTTTGGGATAGTTATGGAAGTAATAACCTAAGCTGATTAGTTTGCCTTGGAGAAGTTTAGTCTTAGAAGTTGTTTTTATATATATTTTAGTTTGGCATCTAAATCTTCTTCAACAATATTCCTTCATTAACGCTCTTTTTATGCTACGACAAATGATCTTATGACTCATTTAATTGCTGTGCATTCTGTAGCAATTAAGACGGTAAGAAGATTAACTGCTAGATTTTACTGGAACTACCCCTGCTAGCATAGGGACTAGCATTCCTTTAATTTGATTTGTTTCTAGTATCCACATTTTTAGTCGATTGTAATATCGACTAGCATTCTGCTAGCTTAGTCTGCATCAAGATTGATTTGAGTTCATTCATCTGGCTTGCCTCTTTCTTTAAATATGATGGATTATTGACCCAAACTCCCTTTATCTTAAGGTCTTTTGGATATTTCTTCATTCTCCCTGGCATAAACAAACTGTTCAACTGGTTTGAAGGTGTTTGCTGAATCGAAATAGAGTGATTCGTGGTTTCATTCATATCTTAGGTGAATATCGAGTGATTATGAGAGTTGAGTGCACCAATTTAATACTTAGTCGATTCCAAACTACTGTTGTTACATTCTGCTTTATCATTAGGTCTACTTTGAAAGCTGCTTTCCAGTACATTAATAAACATATGTTAACCCTAAAATTGCTATTACTATGTCTATTCATTGACAATGGTACTTAAAGCTGCTCCACTTCCAATATTCTTCTCAATTTAATTAATACTTTCCATCAATGAGTTGCGCTCACTGATGTAGCTCTTATCAATTGATCTGTTAATGGTAGTGGGGCTATTATATTTTCTATCAATTATCCTGATATTATTTTCTGGACTAGATTGAAGCTTTTGACGCTTTTTTAACATCTTTTATTAAAAGTATGGTGTATTATGTAAAGAATATATTCTATGCGCTCTCCTTGTGTTCTCAAGTGATGTATAATCAGACTTAGTCATTTTAGAGGGATTCATGTTGGTAGTTGTGCTAGTGTACATCGCTTGATACTACGTTTGCTATTGAAGTTAGATTTTAGGGTGAACAACCTAATTAATAGCGCTGTTATTCATCATAATGTTGTTAGATGCATTGGAGGTTTATTATGAAAGTGTTTATTAGATAGATACATATTTCTTAAATGCTGTACTTTTTTATTTAGTGGTTGAATTGTTGTTTAGATCTTAATCTGTAGAGGGCTCTTCTAAAAATGTGGCATTTTCCAGTTTGAGCAATGAATCTTTAATCCGATTCTCACTCTTAGGACTATTGTTCACTATCATATTGACTTTCTTTAATTACTTTTTACTTTATTTATTTACAAACTATTTTAATTATAGATTGTGGGGTTTTGGGGTTTTGGGGTTTTGGGGTTTTGGGG